TGCCAACTCAACAAACACCTTCGGAGACACCTTTAGAGCATCTTTATAATCACCCAGTTATGTTGTGACGTTTGATAGCACACAAGGTGTTCCTCCGGTATTCGGGAGTTGCATAATCTCATAGTCAGAGGAACATGTATAAGTCATGAAGAAAGCAATAGCAATAAAACTTAATGACCATTATGCTAAGCTAACTGATGGGACTTGTCCATCACGTCATTCTCTAATGATGTGATCCTGTTCATCAAATGACAACACATGTCTATGGTCAGGAAACATAACCATCTTTCATTAACGAACTAGTCAAGTAGAGGCAAACTAGGGACACTTTGTTTTGTCTATGTATCCACACATGTACTAAGTTTCCGGTTAATACAATTCTAGCATGTATAATAAACATTTATCATGATATAATTAAGGAAAAATAAATAACAACTTTATTATTGGCTCTAGGGCATATTTCCTTCATGTATCAAGTATCATCGTATAACATAAAACCTACCCGACGATCCTCTCCTCGTCGCCCTGTGGAAGAGCGATCACGGAGTTGTATCTGGAACTTGTAAGGGGTGTGTTTCATTAAGTATCTAGTTCTTGTTGTCAGAGGTCGGAATACAACTCCAAGTCGTCCTGTTACCACAGACATGGCTATTCGAATAAATAAACTTCCCTGCAGGGGTGCACCACACTCCCCAACACGTTCGATCACTCTGGCCGGGCATACTTTCCTGGGTCATACCCAGCCTCGGAAGATAAACACGCCGCAACCCTACCTAGGCTCAACAGAGAGGCTAGCACACCGGTCTACATCCTAAGCGCGCAGGGGTCTTGGGCACATCGCCTGTTGCACTCCTGCATGTTGCGTACGCGGCCGAGGTCAGTCCTGGCAACCTACACTACAAGGCGGTTGCTTTATGTGGACCACCGGGTGTGCGCCGCTGAGTCGCTATCGTCTGGAAAGCTTTGGCTGATACTACGATGTCGGTTGCCTATATCTTGTCCCACGTGGCGGTTAGTGCGTATATGGCCAACAACAAACTCAGATCAAATATCCAGAACTCGTTAGGCGTGTTATTATGAAATAACCGCGGACAACAACCATTGACCAGGCCCACCACTCTCTTGGGTAGTCTAGACCTGCCCTGTCGCTCCACCACAAGGTATCACTTAGGGGGGATCGGGAACCCAGGTCCACCACAACCTGGATGGAACCACCTGCCCCTTTAGCCCCCACATTCGTGAATCACTCACGGGTACTTTGCGAGCCGACTCGACTTTAGTAATGCTACTTCTTGAGCTTGCGTTGGTTTTCCCTTGAAGAGGAAACGGTGATGCAGCAAAGTAGAGATAAGTATTTCCCTCAGTTAGAGAACCAAGGTATCAATCCAGTAGGATGTGCAAGCAAGTCTCCAATCTATGCACCCGCACAAAACAATCAAACACTTGCACCCAACGCGATAAAGGGGTTGTCAATCCCTTCACGGTCATTTGCAATGGTGAGATCTGATAGAGATAGATATAAAAGATTACTAAAACGTAAAACAAAATAAAAGTAAATAGATTGCAGCAAGGTATTTTGGGGTTTTTTGGTTTATAGATCTGAAAATATATGATGGAAAATAGACCCGGGGGCCATAGGTTTCACTAGAGGCTTCTCTCTTGAAGGAAAATAATAGGGTGAGTGAACAAATTACTATTGAGAAATTGATAGAAAAGTGCAAAGTTATGACGATATCCAAGGCAATGATTATGAATATAGGCATCACATCTATGTCAAGTAGACCAAAACGATTCTGCATCTACTGCTATTACTCCACACATCGATCGACTCCTGCCTGCATCTAGAGTATTAAGTTTAAGAGAACAGAGTAACACATTAAGTAAGACGACATGATGTAGCTAGAGGGATAAACTCAAGCAATATGATGAGAACCCCATCTTTTTATCCTTGATGGCAACAATACAATACGTGTCTCGCTACCCCTACTTTGTCACTAGGCGACATCACACAAGATTGAACCGAAAACTAAGCACCTCTCCCATTGCAAGAAATACCAATCTAGTTGGCCAAACCAAACCGATAATTCGAAGAGAAATACAAAGATATCAAATCATGCATATAAGAATTCAGAGAAAATTCAAATAATATTCATAGATAATCTTATCATAAATCCACAATTCATCCGATCTCGACAAACACACCGCAAAAGAAGATTACATCGGATAGATCTCCAAGAACATCGAGGAGAACTTTGCATTAGAGATCAAAGAGAGAGAAGAAGTCACCTAGCTACTGGCTATGGACCCATAGGTCGGAGGTAAACTACTCACGCATCATTGAATGGGAAATAAGGTTGATGTAGATTAGGGTTAGAGGGCCCCTATGGCTTGCCGTCTGCTCGTAGGTCTTCTAACCTCCTCTCCAAGTCTCCTAGGTGTCTTCTGGTCCAAGAAAAATCATCACGAATGTTTTATTCCGTTTGGACTCCATTTGATATTCCTTGTCTGTAAAACTCAAAAACAAGAAAAGAACAGAAACTGACACTGGGCTCTAGGTTAATAGGTTAGTCTAAAAAACAATATAAAATAGCATATTAATGCATATCATAATATAATAGTATGGAAAAATAAAAATTATAGATACATTGGAGACGTATCAAGCATCCCCAAGCTTAATTCCTGCTCGTCCTCGAGTAGGTAAATGATAAAAACAGAATTTTTGATGTGGGATGCTACCTAACATATTTATCCATGTAATTTCTTTATTGTGGCATGAATATTTAGATCCATAAGATTCAAAACAAAAGTTAATATTGACATAAAAACAATAATACTTCAAACATACTAACAAAGCAATCATATCTTCTCAAAATAACATGGCCAAAGAAAGTTATCCCTACAAAATCATATAGTCTGGCTATACTCCATCTTCATCACACAAAGTATTAAATCATGCACAACCCCGATGACAAGCCAAGCAATTATTTCATACTTTTGATGTTCTCAACCTTTTTCAACTTCCACGCAATACATGAGTGTGAGCCGTGGATATAGCACTATAGGTGGAATAGAATATGGTGGTCGTGGAGAAGACAAAAAGAAGAAGACGGTCTCACATCAACTAGGCGTATCAATGGGCTATGGATATGCCCATCAATAGATATCAATGTGAGTGAGCAGGGATTGCCATGCAATAGATGAACTAGAGCTATATGTGTATGAAGGCTCAAAAGAAACTAAGTGGGTGTGCATCCAACTTGCCTGCTCACGAAGACCTAGGGCAATTTGAGGAAGCCCGTCATTGGAATATACAAGCCAAGTTCTATAATGTAAAATTCCCACTAGTATACGAAAGTGACAAAATAAGAGACTCTCTATCATGAAGATCTTGATGCTACTTTGAAGCACAAGTGTGGAAAAGGGATAGTAGCATTGCCCCTTCTCTCTTTCCTCACATTTTTTATTTTGGGCTCTTTGGCCATAGGAGCAGCAGCACCAGGGGCTCGTCCACGTGTGTCGACCAAGCGGGCGGCTGCGACAGGGAGGTGCTTCTCCGTGTGTAGATGCTGCAGCCCCTAGTGCTTCTGCTCGCGTGGCCGACATGGCGTCAGTGCTCGTCCACGCGTGTCGACAGAGCGGATGTGATGTGGACCAGATCATGACCAAGGCATCAAAGATTGAGGTTCATGCTAGCACAAATGTTAAACCATTAGAGCAGCCAAAGGAGGACATGGGCAAAACCATTATCTTAGTGGGGAAGCTTCTGGTGCCTATTTTCGAAGAAATAACACATCAGATTTCCAGTTGCAACTTTCCACCTAAACCTAATTAATTCTAGAAGGGTATACCACATTTTAGAGGCTGGAAAAGATGGTCTTTTAAGTTAGCTTTCATTCAAAAAAACGGTGCATCATTTGAGGTCTTGAGATAAAAGTTGTGCAAGTTTCCATGCAAGCTGTCCAGGAATTAATTACAGCGTGAGGCTCAACAAGTTTGCTCCTGCTACAGTTTGGGGCTCATGAATTTACCCTTTATTTTGAGTTGTTTTCACACCTAACTAGTAGGTGCTTCTAGTATAAGTACTCCCCAACTGTTCCATGTGAAGGGGGATGAGATTTATAAGTTTATGTTTGCAGATAGCCGGTGAGGTTGTGTTGTGTTGTGAGCACTAGTATCGTTGAGTGTTAGCTCGTGTGTGTGGATTGGATGGCCTGTCCTCAATTCATATAGGATCCTTGTGGTTCTCTCTTGTGATTCTTCTTAGGTTCACAAGTTTCATGATTTGGGTTGCATCCTTGTAACCCAAGCTAGTTATCCGCTGCAATATATTTGAGAGTGTTTCCTCTTGCTCCTTGCTATTTGAGAAAGATAGTTGCTGCTCCTTGTGAGTTCTTTGCCACCGTGAAGGATCGTTTCCGAGGCGTCCCGTATCAGGACGACCACAACGACGAGATTCCCCTTCATGCACGGCCGTCGTGGCCCCTCGTGCTCCTGGTCGCGTGGCTGATGCAGGCCGACAGTGCTTCCCCACGCGCTGTGCGACACAGACTGGTGGCTGCAGGGTACGCCGCCCTGTTCCCGGAACCACGACATCCTGGCCTCGCCGCCGGTAGCTGCACGATCCCGCGTGCGCCGTTCGTGGTTGAGTTGGATGGAGATGGGGAGGGCGTGAGAGTGGTGGGGGCTGTGGAGTGGCGAGGGAGATGGATGGATAAGCTTCTATGCGATGGAATCGTTCGCGCGAGGCTCGCTCCCAACGACAGGTGCGTACGCTTGACGTAGCAGTTTTCAGTGCTTCAAGATCCGCGTTTTTTCATCTGATGGACAAATAATATTACCTCCAAAATATAAATTATGAGGAAAAAATTATAATGAATAGAGAAAAAGGAACGTGCATAAATTTGGACGAAGCCTGTTGCGTGACAAAAACTTTTGTAAGTACTCCTCCGTTCGAAATTACTTGTCGCAGAACGTAGAATTTCAACGACAAGTCGGTCCGTATGAAGAAAGTAAGGCCCCGTTCGGAACATGTCCAGCTCCCAGCTTCATCCGCTCCGCGCAGGAGCAGGCCCAAACGGCACAGCTCCCAGAAGCGGCTTCGTGGAGCAGAGCATCCCAGCAGTGCAAGAATTAGAAGCCGGACGAGCCTAGCTCCCAAAAATCGAAGAGAAATTGTTCGGAAGCTCTCCAGCTTTCGAAACGGGCCAGCTTCTCGCGGGAGCCTAACGAGCTGACTTCTCGCGGGAGCCCAACGAGCGTTCAACAGCGACTTGGCGGCTGTAGCGAGAGAAAACGCTTCGTTCGGGGTTGTAGCGAGAGAAAATGAACCGGTACGCTGCCTGGAGCTCACTTGGCGGTGGCATATTAGGTAATATTGTCCAACTTCTTCTTCTTCGATTTTTGGAAGCTAGGCTCGTCTGGCTTCTAATTCTTGCACTGCGGGGATGCCCTGCTCCACGAAGCCAGCTTCTCGGAGTTGTGCCGTTCGGGCCTGCTCCTGCGTGGAGCGGATGAAGCTGGGAGCTGGACACGCTCCGAACGGGGCCTAAGTAGTACACTTGTTTGAGTTTTGTCTAAATACATCGGTGGATGTGTCTAAACACGTTACAAATAATTCGAGACGGAAGTGGTAGTACATAAATTGTGCTATTACTGGAGAAAAAAGAAAGAGGCGGAAGAATCTAACTATATTTATGTGATGCACCGGTAAGGTTCCATACAGTTGAATAATTTGACCCGTTCGTAACTTGGACCACTGAAATTCCCCGTTCGGCACTCACTGTGTCGACATCGCCTTCACACAGGAGAAGTATTCCGAACGCCTCGTCCTCTGCTAGATTTCCATCCCGTAATTATTTCAGGAAAGGAAAATATAACGCCGTGCATCGGGTGCGCGCACCCAACAAAAACAGAGGGAGCAAAGACCCCGAGCGGAAAAGGAGCGAGGGCCTCTCTCTCCATCCCGACCTCTCGTGGCCGCCGCGAAGAAAAGGTAGCACCTCCGCCCCCGATCCCTCCCGCCTTTCCCCCTCGCCGCCCCTCCTTCGATTCCGTCAGATCGGCGCCAGTAACGCCGGGGTCCGATCCCGATCTGTCTCCTTCCCGACCTTCGCGTAATTCCCCCCCAATTCCGTTGGCCGTATCTGGATTGATCTTTTTTTTGCTTTGGTAGATCCGTGGCCTGGTGCCTGGCGGGGCTTCGCTTGCCGTTGGGCCTGTGATGCGCGTAGATTTGTCGTGTGCCGGCGGCGATTTGTCCGTCAGCCTGTCGATTTGACGCGCGTTCGCTCAATCCGTTGGATCGTCAGCTTCGATCTGTTGTGTGATGTGATTCGTTAGGATCGTCTAGTCGCGGGCTGTCGAGGCGAGGTGTTTTGTTGTTCCTCTTGTCGTGTGTGCGGTGATTCAGGCTAAACGGTCTTCCTAGGTCTCAATCGACTGAGATTTTCTCAAGGCTACACCGATTCAGAAAAGTGCAACTCGCCACTACTTTTTATTTTCTTCGCGCGGAGAGCTACGTTTCTAGCATAGCCAGTGATCTGTTGTATGCGCAGATTGATTTGTGAACCTGTGGGATTCATCTGGTGCGATATGCCTTGCTTGTTAATGTAGTTTGGCATCCTGATGTCTACAGATCGTTATCTGTTAATGCTAATTTGATAACCACATTAAATTGTAAGTATTTGTCCCAGGATGAGTTTTATGCTAGCTTGTTTAATTTTGCCAGCTTTGAAATAACTTGCTGTGTTGGTGCAATGGAACAAATATGGTAAAGTTACCACCAATATGTTCTAGGTTACTTTGGAGGAATATATACGAGTCAGTACTGAAGTTACTTCAGTGCCAGGCTAAATACTTCGAGGCAATAAACCTGTTGTTTATTTTTATGCTGCCAACTTATTGCAGTATGTGGTGATCCAAAAACATGTTTAAACTCTAGAGTTAGTAGCTTATTCTTCAGTCTCATTAATATGTAAATGTAAATCAAATCAGGAGCTTATCATGGCTTCAAAACGTATCCTGAAGGAACTGAAGGACTTGCAGAAAGATCCTCCGACATCATGCAGTGCAGGTACGAGCCAGATCTATGATTCAGTTATGACTGTTAGCCACGTTGTGTGCATCTTAGCGGTGTTGATATATGCTGTGGTCATGTTTCAACTTTGTGTATCGTAATTCACCTTCCATCTCTGGCGAAATTACAGGGCTATGTCCATCAAGGCTAGCCTTTAGCAGGCTATTTGTTATGCACAGTGTCTACAATTATCCTTGCTGTCAATTATTTCTTTGCGTGACTATAACTCCACTGGACCTATTTATGGCACCGGTCCATTGATAGAATGTATTATAATGGATTTCATTTTGCTGAGTCACTTGTCCAGGAAATTGAATTATAATACACAGTTTCATTCACTGTTCTTGTCCAAAGGGCATGTATCACTATAGCAGTTGCTGTCTTGTCAGTGCCCTTTTTTGCGGTTGACTAGCTAAATTGATGTTTTTATTTAAGAAAGGTATCTAGTAGCATATAGTCTTCCTGTGCTTTAAAGTACATTTCAACTTAGTAAGTGATGAACAGCCATCAACAACCACTACAATTGACCATCAGTTCTTCTATAATCAGGATTATGTCGTGCTGCTGCTTAGTGCATACTACTCCCTTGCTTGCACAGACGATTGTGTTAATTTATTATAGGTTTCTGTTTATTTAGGTCCTTCTGGCGAGGATATGTTCCATTGGCAGGCAACAATTATGGGTCCTCCTGATAGTCCCTATGCTGGAGGTGTTTTCTTAGTGAATATCCATTTCCCCCCGGACTACCCCTTCAAGCCTCCGAAGGTTAGTGCTGAACAATGTTGAGCCAAACAATTTTCCTTGCATCTTTGTCATCTTTATTTATTGAAAGATGGATCTTGTCAAACTGTCAGTATGTCTCCCCTCTTCATGTCCCATTGTTGTTTCAGTTTTAGCTTGTGTGATTTATGTTCATCCCTGCATTTTGATATTAAGGATCGACTATATCTTGTTATATCTCATTTGTTTACAGAAATCGTTATTATATCACCTCTTAATCTTAATTTTAAAAAGAAAAATTCTGTTCCTGAATCTATCTTTTCTTTTAACACCACATTCTATGATAGGTTCAGCTTTGTCGGTCTACCTGTTGATGTTTTTAATCTTCCCCTTTCCTCCTTTGTGTTCTCAAGTATCTCTTTTTTCAGGTATCGTTCAAGACAAAGGTCTTCCATCCGAACATCAATAGCAACGGAAGCATATGCCTCGACATTCTGAAGGAGCAATGGAGTCCTGCTTTGACAATCTCTAAGGTGCTCTCACAACAATTCAGTCCTTTACTCCTTTCAGCTTTCGCTGATATGCTGTATATACGTAGTAAACGAATTATTTATATGCCCTAGCAGTCTAGCACTCTCGATGAGCAACAGTTCTCTGCATTGCTTCATTACACTTTATAATCTCTACTACATGTTTGATGTGATTTGGTGTAATGACCTTTTGGCCGGAGCCTTAATTGTTTGTCCAAATGCAGTCATTTGGTGTTATCTCATGTTGATGCTATCATATTGTTAGCAGATATTAAGCTCAGTTACTTTTTTTGGGCTCAAAACATTGCAAACCATCCTAATAAAAACATCCAACAGCCCTCTCCTTGAGGTCTAGTAATCTACAGTTACCATTTGGTGCATTGCATATGCAGAATGTAGCTGCACTACTAACTCGCAGTAATATCGTTTTCACCAGGTTCTGCTTTCAATCTGCTCGCTGCTTACCGACCCTAACCCGGACGACCCTCTCGTCCCCGAGATTGCCCACATGTACAAGACGGATCGGTCCAAGTATGAGACGACAGCCCGCAGCTGGACGCAGAAGTATGCCATGGGATGATACGAAGCCCATGCTCGTATCCACTGCTTGCATGCAGAAGATTGTGTTGCTGTCCTGAGAAACTATCTCTGGGCCATTATTTTCTTTGATTACTTGTCGGTCGCGTGTGTCTCCCTGATCCATGTAGGATCGCGTCGTAGTCAAAACATCAACCTATCATTGCCAAAGTCCATAATGAAATTGACATATGCTTCTCGTGATAACTACGCTGGTGTTGGTTCTCCCTCCCATTCGCTAAATAGTGCCCGTGGCTGGAAATGTTTGTTCTGTGGCCAGTTGGCCACTTTGCGTGCTTTTGCTCAGTTGCACGCATATTGTCTCCTCTCCTGTTATGTTACTGCTCTATTTCTTGATACCTGATTGGCTGTAGGACTTAGCATCAGCAAAATGCTAGAATGACCTGGTTCTGGTGCATCCATTTCATAAAACTTAGAAGAAAAAATGTATTTGTAACTAACCAATGTACATTTTTTCATGTATTTGTAACTAGGTTGAGCTAACTTTAGTTCAAAACTGTGACACTTGTTTTGGATTGGAGGAAATAGTACCATTTGTGATGGGAACGCTAAGGGTTAAGTTCAAGCTTCAAAACTTGAATTGTAGCCCTTTTGACCTAGGTGGCAAGGTCACAAAGTCGTATTCCCTCCTTCCCATATTAATTGATGCTGAATGGATTTGTCTTTGTTTAAGGTTCGCGCTTGGTGTGTTGACCCGGACGCGGTGCCGTCGGACAAGCTTATTTGGGTCCCGGAGCCTGAGGTTGATGAGGGACCGGCGACGAGGATGCCTACTTCACGGCAGCTCTTGGAGTACAAAGCGCTCATCCATATCAGGCGGATCAGGGAGCACGAGGGACCGGGCACTTGGTTACGGCATCCAAGCTCTGATGGGAGCGGCCAGAGCGGCATGCCGGACGATTCAGGCGACTTCTCTGGCCGTGGAGAATGGAGAACCTTGCCCTGGGCGCGGGGAGTGCGTGATCACCGCGGCCCGTTCAATGGTCACCATGGAGGTTCGTACAGGCAGGCGCTGCTGGGGCGCATCAGGCCCTCCAACTGGCGCATCCCCCCTATGGTGGATGGCGGCGCTACCATCGCGCGGCCACGTGCTGCTGCTCCGGCGGCCACGGTGCCGTTGCCGGGCGATGCGGTGGTGACTACGGTGGCCGGGAGTTCGCAGGGTAGGCCTGGGACGGAGGAGGTGGAGCCAGCGCCTAGCAGACAGGTGGGACCTGCCTCGCGGTCACATGCGCAGGATAGGGCGCAACCTGCTGCCGACCAGGTGCCTTTTGACCAAGTTTTGGGCCCGCAACCGCCTTTAATTCAAACCAGGAATGAGGAGATGAGCGACACGTGCCAGGAGGTTCACGCAGTTTTGGAGCCAGCCGAGACGGGGCCTATCACGATCTTCGGGGCTGTTCCAGATGGATCCGGGGATCCCGAGGTGTGCACGTTGGTGCCGCCTTCTGCGGGGCAGGGCGAGGGCACCCAGGCCCTAGAAAGTTGCGCCTTGCCAGCTGTGTGGGGCCAGGGGGAGGCGGTTGGTGCAGATGTCGCGCCGGTGCCCACCATGGAGGCGGGGCCACTGGTGCGGGCAGTGCCCAGTTCATTGGTGCTGCGCGCTGCAGATGAGAGGGGCCCAGCCTTGGATCCCCTACACGCCGCACCCGAGGTGGATCCTGCGCCACAAGACAAGGATGGGAAGCGATCGGATCCCGATGTGCCTGAGGTGGATCCCGCGCCACAGGACAAGGACGGGGGGCAAACGAGCCCTGACGCGCTTCAGGGTTTGGGTCTCGTGGGCCCTGGCGCGGAGGTGACTACGTCCCATGCATGCATGCATGAAGAGGCGCCTGAAATCGCTGGGGCGCTGCTAGAAAAGGCAAATTCTGGCGCGTTGGCCACTCCCTTGTCCAGCAAGGAGATTATTGCCACCGGCAACATCAAGACCTTCTGCGCAGGTTTACTTAAGAAACTCGCCCCGCCGCTGCTCAAGGAGTTTGAAGGGCTCAGTGGTGTCCGCGTTGGCCAGGACCCTTTCACACCGCGTCGGGCCACCAGGTCTGGGCGTGCTATTGGGCAGAAGATGAAGACTAAGGCGTCGGCTGCAGAAATGGTTCTCCTTAAGGCCTTGGGTTTTTCTTGTGAGGATCTGGCGGTCTCCGACGATGCGCTAGAGCAGTTACGCACGGTCTTTGATTCACCACTCCAGGAACCACAGCTTAGAGCAATCGCAGCCATCTTTGGGAAGGCGATACCCCTAGACCTTGGAGCTGACACGGAGTTGGCTGCACCGATCATGGTGTAGTTGTTGAGGGGCTCGTCGGCATGGAGACACCCGTTACCATGTCGTACGCAGGGATGGAGTTAGTCTGTTGGAATGTGCGTGGCCTAAATGGGCCAGCTAGGAGGAAATCTTTACGTGAATTTGTAGGTTCGTTCCATGTGGCGATTTGTTGTATCCTGGAGACCAAGCTGGAGAGGGTGGACCAGTTCACCATTATGCAATGTATGGGTCCAAGTTTCGATGGCTACACCTATCTACCGGCATCTGATACTAGGGGTGGGATTTTCATTGCTTGGGACTCCACCAGGGTCCAACTGTCCAACCATGTCAATGATACGCACTCCATTTCCAGTTACGTGTCACATGTGGGGGGGCCACCTTGGTGACTGACTGTGGTCTATGGCCCTCAGGAAGACGTGCAGAAAATTGAGTTTCTGCATGACTTGGCGGAGCGTAGATTGTTGTGCCCCGGGCCATGGTTACTTATTGGAGACTTCAACTTAATTCCGCGCAAGATAAAAACAACTCTCTGATCGATAGGCGAATGATGAGACGGTTCAAAAGCTTCATTGATGACAATGCTCTCAAGGAGCTCTTCCTTCACGGGCGCAACTACACGTGGAGCAACGAGCGCGAGAACCCCACGATGACTAAGATCGACCGTGCTTTTGTCTCCATTGATTGGGAGCTTGACCACCCCGGTTGCCTCCTTCAGGCTTTATCCACGGCAATTTCAGACCATTGCCCCCTCCACTTGGCACTGGACGATCACATGGGGCCGCGGAGGCGTTTTCGCTTCAAGAAGTTTTGGGTGAAGATGGACGGTTTCTTGGAAGTGGTGCAGGAGGCTTGGACTTGTGACGAGACAATCACGGACCCGTTCAGGAGACTTGGCATCCTCCTTAGGAGCATGGCAAAAACTCTTGCGATTTGGGGCCAAAAGAGAGTGGTCAATATCAAGATGCAATTGGCTGTGGCCAACATTGTCATCCTGAGATTCGACCGTGCCCAGGAGTTTCGGGTGCTCACGGAGGAGGAGAGGCGGCTCAGGAGATCGCTCAAACAGCTTGTACTCGGCCTCGCCTCGCTGGAGCGAACGATTTCTCGCCAGAGATCACGAATAACCTGGCTTCGGGAGGGGGATGCAAATACAAAGCTGTTCCATTTGGTTGCGAATGGCAGAAGGATGAAGAACTATATTCCGTCACTCTTGGTAGATGGGCGCATGGTCACGGACCAAGCCGGAAAGGAGGCTGCGTTCTACGACACTTACAAGGAGCTGCTTGGGAAGGACGTCGCTCATGAGTACACCCTGGACCTGGACGAGCTTGGCATTCAAAGATTTGACCTCTCGGACCAGGATCTTCATTTCAACGACGAGGAGATTTGGGCTGTGATCAGTAGCATGCCGGCGGATCGAGCCCCGGGGCTAGATGGTTTTATCGGCCTCTTCTTCAAGAAGGCCTGGGAGATAATAAAACTGGACGTTATCGCGGCTTTGCACAAGCTATTTGTCGGGAACGGACGTGGGTTTGGCAGGCTGAATCAAACGTTGATCACCTTAATACCTAAAACCCCGGAGGCCTCAACCACTCTTGACTACCGCCCCATAAGCCTGGAGCATAGCCTACCGAAGATCGCTTCAAAGCTCTGGGCAAATAGGCTATGTCCTCGGATGGGAGAGCTAGTTCACATAAACCAATCGGCGTTCATCAAGGGTAGAAGCATCCATGACAACTTCCTGCTTGTTAGGCAAATGGCGCGGCGATTACATCAATGGAAGGCCAAAGGCGTGATGCTCAAGCTTGATATCTCTAAAGCTTTTGACTCCCTTTCGTGGCCCTTCCTCTTTGAGGTGCTCAGGGCAAAAGGGTTCTCGAATCGATGGATTGCCTGGATTAACATCTTGCTTACGACTGCAAGCTCGAGAGTTTTGGTTAACGGCTGTGCCGGTCCTAAGTTCATGCATGCCAAAGGGCTTCGGCAGGGGGATCCGGCCTCCCCTCTGCTCTTCATCATGGCAATGGATGTTCTCACCTCTCTGGTCCTCAAAGCGCACAAGCAAGGGATCCTCAAGCCCATTGCCAGCTCAACCCCGATGCAGAGGCTCTCCCTATACGCAGATGACGTGGTTCTTTACATTAGGCCGACTAGGCCGGAGCTGCAACTTGTGAAGAAGCTTCTGGGCATCTTTGGAGTGGCATCGGGTTTGAAAGTAAACTACGCTAAGTCAGTTGCTATTCTCATAAGATCCGAAGAGGATGATGTGGAGCTGGTCAGGAGTGCTCTACCTTGGAAGATTGATTCCTTCCCGTGCAAATACTTGGGTCTACAGTTAAGCATCAAGCAACTCAAACGCAACGAATGGCAACCGATTGTTGATGCGGCGCTCCATATCATGCCTGGCTGGCAGCGTGGGCTTGTCACTAGGCCTGGACGGCTTATCCTGGTGAATCAGGTCATGAGAGCGAGGCCTACGCACCACCTCATGGTTGCTGAGGCGCCAAAGTGGGCCCTGGAACAAGTGGATAAGGGCTGTCGCGCTTTTTTCTGGGCTGGCACGGATGCCATTAATGGTGGCAAATGTGTGGTTTCATGGAGGAGAGTTTGCCGCCCCAAGCAGCTCGGAGGCCTAGGCATCATTGATCTACACAAGCATAGCATTGCTCTGAGGCTCAGATGGGAATGGCTTAAGAGGACGGATCTGTCTAGGC